AGTGTGTAGTGCCCATTTCTCCCTTTTTGCCACTTTTTTGCCGATATCCGCCACAAATATTAAGATTTGATAGTGTCAGTACCACCCTAATAGTTCCCTCAAGTACTTTAATTTAGAGGGACTGTTAGAGATTTTTTTCAAAAATATTTTTTTTTATCTTTTGCTTCGCTTGGATGTTTTCGATTTCTGTTGACGGAATTCATTTACTTTTCAGATACCGAAATTAAAATGGCTTTTAACTGGTGGCAAAATAATCTATGAGCTATTGTTTGACGAAAAGATTTTTAGTAATGAAGAAATATACAAAATGACAAGCACTGAGCTGCAGTTTTCCAAAAGGTGAATCGTTTTTTGTTCCTTTTTTCAATATTTGGAAATACTTAAACTGTGCTGGTACAAGTGTTTGTTAAGGTAAAAAAGAAGGCGTGGATTGAGGAGGGAAGGGGGGGAGGCAGAAGGATTGTTAAATTTTTTTATTATTTTTTATTATTTTTTTAGTATTTACTTGTCCCGTTCAAGTAAATATGCCTGTTTCAGCATGAGTAACATTTATGTAGAGCGAGCTAAAGAAGTGTATCAGGCCGATGAGAACAAGGATGGAGATGAACGTCGAAAATTACCTGTTTTTACGAAAGCTCAGCATGAGGCAAAAGTACGTTACCTGTTATGCTTTTCTCAAAAATTAACATTATTTGCAAATGCTGGCACTTCGTTAGCCTCCCGGTATTTCTGCCTTTCAGTATAAAATATGGGAAATCTTTCAGTTTCGATTTCGGCAGTGTGAATGATTCTAGTTAATTTTAATAGACGTAGTTTAAATTTTTGTGGTTATGTAATAGCTGGAGAATTAGGAGTTTTTTTCGCTTTTTTTGCTTTTTTTTTTTGCTTTTTTCGTATTTTTTTGTCGGAAATGCTTGAGTGATGAAGAATTTAAGTACGGAGAAGCAAGCAACAGCTTAATTCACTTTTAGCAGCAGCGCTACGTCAGTGAAATTATTTGAGAATGATAAAAAGTCTATAATAGAACTGTTTTGTAACGGCAAACTCCAGCCCACTAAAGTTTGGGATACGAATCCATTGGGCGGCTACGCTTCCGTCCAGTGAATCTTTGAATTTTAATTTTAATTTTGTTGGCATATGTTTATGAAAGGTGTAGAGAAATAAAAAAGGAAAATGTGAATAAAACAGATTAAAATCTGGATGGGAATATTTCGGTCCATCAAGCCGCATACATTCCTGTTCAGTGCTGCAACTGGACCTTGTCAGTGTGACGGTTGCAGCGAAAGTTGCATGCAGCGTGCTAAAAAAATGAAAAAGGAAGGTTAAAATAAAAAGAATATCTTGTTGAATATCTTTGAATATCTTGTTGTTACATCGTAGGACACGGTTGTACCATCAGTGTTGCGTGATCGGGGGAATGGATCATCTCCAGAAAGAGGGGGAAGGGAGAAGGGGGAGGGGGGTGTTCCCTATCCACATACAACATAAATATTTAAAATTCAGCCCCAAGGTGTGCGTGATTCTCATGTGCGGGCACGCGAAAATCTTTAGCGGGAAAATCGTCAACTCAAGGACCAAAAAAACCTGGAAAGCTGAAATTTTAAAGGAGTGACTCCTGCTCCATTAAATTTTAAGAGAGGAGAAAACTCCTCGACAATATGCGTTCTTCTTACATCTATGCGATGCAAAAAAAAGGAATTTTGAGAACCTATCGTCATGAAAGGTCTAATAAAATAGCAA